CGCGTTTCCGCATTTCCACCTCCAAAGCTAATAACTTTAGCTTTGCTTTTATGCCGCAGAAAGAGAGAGGGTAGTGAAACACTTTGTAAGTGAATTTTGTGGTTTTACTGGTCAAGTTTTGGAATTTCAAGTTGACGGTTGTTTGCGTTTGCACTGTGTATGAAATACACAACATTTACAACAACGGCCTACTTTTAGAACATTAGGAAAGCGTAACGTACGTAAAACAAACTAACTGGCCAAAGGTAGGCTTAAGCGTATAAACAACAGCAACAACATCGGTTACTTAAGAGTTTATTAGCTTTAAAAAAAAATAAATAAAAATAAAACAATCATTCCTGTTAAAAAATTAAAACGATGCATTTCCATTTCCATTCAAAACGAAAAAAAAAAAAAACAAAGAAAAAATATCCGTCCGTCAAATAATTTATTTAATAGCATACCTTTTGCTTAATGATTTTAACTTGACACGAGTCAACTTTTTAATTTATACATTTTACATGTTTTAAAACTTTACCATAAAAAACACATAATAAATTATTTAATACAACTATATAAAATATAATAATAATAAATTATTTAATACAAGTATATTGAGTAACAATTGTAATAAAACAAAAATACATTAGTTGCTTACTCTACAAACATACAAGATGAATTGTTTACTAATATTACTGACATATCCGTTTACATTATTCTTATATGGAATTTTTTTTACCCACTAATGGCCACTTAACCCGCGGAATGCCATTTCATTCTTAAACGTTTCCAATTAGAGTAAGAAAGCAAAACGATCGTCGAAGAGAGACTAACAGAAAAAGCAGTGTGTAGTGTACGTGTAGCGAGCAAAAGACACGGAAAGCAGAGATGATTATTGTTTTTGTTACATCGGCGTCTGGGTGTAGCAGGCGTGTCCTTTGAACATTTTGGGTCATTTTTAAAATCTCTTGCAAATTTTTGTATGCGATATCTTCATCTTTGCGAACGGGTGAATGTTTACCACAAATACTGCACTGTTGGACAGACAGACCGATGAACACACGAACAGGGGGGTTTGAAGCATGCTTCTGAACTTTTTAAAGGTATTAAACAGAAAAATTTAATTTTCGCATCCTACAATATTGGGTAGGCGTGGTAAATTTAGTCCATTTTGGTACGGGTACTAGATCATTGCCCACAAAATATACGCTAAGAGAGATATTCTCTGTTTACGGGGTACTATAGGCGTGTCTATCGACCGACCTGACCCATTTTGAATACGAGTGTGCGTGCAAGAGCTCTCAGCGTGTGAAGTCGACAGCTTCATTTTTGCGATCACGAGAACGTTTACAGCAGAGATTACACAGAACGACAGACAGACGGACATGCTCAAACCTATTCAGAATTTGACGCTAATCTACAATATATATATACATATATATATATACATATTTTTTGTGAATTCTCTGAAGCTTGCTTCTTTGCATTGCAAACGTTTTGATAAAATGAATATACCCTTCATCCTTCGGTAATAAACGTAATAATAATTTCAGTAATTTTATGCTCGTTGATTATGTGCAACCCCCTAAGTTATTATCGTTTATATACAATTTATTTACTCATTATTTGAACCTTTTTAAACTTTGGTAAGATCCTGAAGCGTTCTTTTTTTAACTTTTGACTATAAAAAATGCAAATTGCACAAAACAAACAATTTAAATCATTTATATACCTGGACGAAATTAATTATTAAAATAAGAAAAAAAATTATATCCGGCCGTGGTCGAATCTGTTATATCCACCGTGTTCGCCTTCTAATGGATGGCGTTTGTGTAGCATAAACAAGAAAGCAAATTTTTCCTTTTTGCTTTTGAAAGCAGAGATGGTCTCAGTTTGCTTTACGTTACAAGCACGTCTTTCGATTGATTCGGCCCATTCTCAATTGGCGATATTTTCATTGCTGCAGCCTGAAAACCATTATAAACAATGCCTAGACAGCCAGACGGACATGCTGACATCGATTCAGAATTTAGGAGTCATCAAGAATAAAACATACTTTTTGGGATCTCTCTGACGCTGCTTCGTGAGTGTTGCAAAACTTCTGCACAAAATGTATGTATTCCTCATCCTCCCGGCCTGGGGTGGTAGGTACCGTACATATAATATTTTGAAAGAGAAAAACTATGCATAGAAAAATCCTTATGCCAAAAAATTAAGTTGGAATTTAGCTTGAAATAGCTTCTATGCTTTGCTATCCTGATGACAGCCATGAAACGTCACAGTTCTTCATAAACTCCAAGCACTTTATGGTGTTTTGGGCGTTAAACTACTTGTTATATTCCTGCTTCTAATTAGCATTATTGTAACAAAATTTAATGCTCCAATTAATAGCAAATGCCTGTTTTGACGTAATTGCTTGCCATTCTCATTTAATATCGTACTTAAAAAAAAAAAAAAAAACCAAACCAACAATCAACGTTGTTCTTACAAAAAAAAATAAATAAATAAAATAAAATAAAAAAAATATAAGGAATAAGAAAATAAGTAAAAAATAATTAAAGATAAATAAACAATAAATAAATAGTAAACAAATAAATAAATTAATAATAAAAATACTACAGTAAAATTTAATGAAAATAAACATGTAAAGAATTACTGAACTAAACTCAAATAAAATAAAGGTAAAATGTCAAAATTTAAGCGTGTGAAGAGAAATTCAAGATTATTTTAGCAAAGACACATACCACCTAATTCAACAGAGCTCTGTAAAGGCCCGAAAAGAGTTGTGTAGGTTAAAAATGTTCCGCAAACTAGAATTTCATTCGTGAGGCGTCCACAAAAGTATTTTACTTCCCCTAGTTTGGCCGGAGTAGTCTTCCACGTCCAACCATATCTCAATTCTAACTACTTAACGAAGCTCTTTTAAGGTAGCCCGTAAATGTCTTCGCTAGTAAGGTTCGAATAGGAAATTTACGTCAAACGATAAAAACCGAAAAAAGCAACAACACAAGTCAGATAATATTGATCGCTAATAGTGAAAGAAACAATTTTTTGTAAACTTTAAATGTTTTTCGCTGTAAAGAAATTGTCTTAAGGGGTCGCATTACTGCAGCATTCCAAAACAAGTGGTCTTTTGACAACTTTTTTGGATGGAAGGAAAGGTAGCAGACCAGTCACGTTTTGGGAGGTTGTCGGTCATATAGTTAAGTAACAAAAAAAAGCAAAATTGTTTAGGGAAAATATTAAAAAATGACAACGCTAGCGCCTTCTAGTTTTTTGAAAAATTTACAATGACATATCGTCTTGGGTTTCCCTTTTAAATAAAGCTGGAAGACGCTTTTTTTAATGAATCAATTAAAGCTATTATACCTAACATGAACACTGGAGGTTCGAACTATAAAAGACAAGATTTTGGGGCTCGTTTTCCTTCAAGGTCAAACGATCAAAAGTTGGATGGCTCTCACTCAAGAACTTTGAATAATCGCAATGCAAGAGTAAAAATGGCAAACGTGGCGCCAAGTCGATAATCCTATATATTATAGTCCGAAACCATGAACATATAATATGAACCCACGGAAATAAGGATATCGATGCCAATAAGTCGCATACACAAAGAACGGCCGTACACATTGAAAAAGTGGCGTGGGTGCGACAGAAATCCTGAATGAAGGATTCTGGCTTTCGGGAAATACTGGAAACGCTTGGACCGTAGCTAAACTTTCACATCTTGTATCCCAGCTCTGTTGTTTGGCCCTTTAAAGGATACAAGATGGTCTCGCAAATTGGACTTACTAACCAGAGGGTTTCGTCTGACTCAATATCTTAGGCAGCTGTAGACATTACAAGACAAGATACGATCTGCCACATTGAAATTTGATCTCACACCGACCTGGTAGTTCCAAATCTTATCTGTTGCGCCATGCGGCGGCGACTGTGGCAGTTGGAACGATCAAATGGAGTTTCGGGTGGATTCAAATTCTTACAATAATAAGTAAAACATTTTGAAGTCCATATTTTCTCTCTGCCCCTCTCTCTCTCTCTCTCTCTCTCTCTGTCTCTTTCTATTTTCAAAATTAAATTTTTTTTTTAATATAATTAATATAAATGAAAGTAAATAACTCTTTAGTTAACTGCCGCAAACTATAATCGTGCCTTTTAATGTATAAACATATGTTTATCTACGTAAACAAAGTGTGGCCCTATTTAGTACGGCAATATAATCAAATGACGCAAAAATAAGATTTTTGCGATAAAACACGTTTTAACGGCGCAGCATATGTATCTACTTAAAAAGCCAATATACAGACACCTCGAAACTATAAACATCTCCCTAAATGCACACACAAGCGTAGGCTGAAAAACTATACATAAAAAGTAAACTCGTTATAATATATCCGCTTAGGGACAAGAGCGGACTTGAAACTTAAAAAAGGAAATTTCATATCTTTAAAGAAACGAACAAAAACCCATTTTAGCAAACTTCGACAAACCTTTAAAAGGTTGCTTACGAATACATGAGAGCAGGGTTGCATGTCTCAAACCGGTAAGTGCTTCCCCTTCTCTTCCCTTATACATCGTTTTATACCTATACACATATATATATATATATATATATATATGTATGTAAGTATATATCTAAGCATGGTGACCATCATTTGTGTGCAGTAGTCTCCGTTAGCGATAAAGTTTGTTGTCCTGCACCCATACATGCACGCATTTCTACACATACAGTCGATGGGGAATGTTATTACATCCCAGCCAAAGCTGCAGCTATTGGATCATACAAACATACAATGTATACAGATATGACTTTGTCTCTGACAAATATTGACAGGGCGTATGGTCGGTTACGCTAATGAGCTCTTTTCACAGAGTCATTATTATAATATTTCTTTCAAGTATATAGTTAAGCAATAGAACTAAAAATTTATGCCAGCTTTTAAGTCTTCAAATTATTTCATAAATCTCGTAACTTCACTATTTTTGATTTACATTTTTTTTTTTCTTAAATATTCTTTCAGGTTCGAACCCTTTTCGTAAGCGGTTTACCTATGGATGCTAAGCCTCGTGAATTATATTTATTATTTAGAGCTTATGAGGTGAGTGTTGTTAAAGTGAAAGAAGAGTAACCTTAAATTATAAAAAATTAAAAAAAAATAAATAAATAAACTTACAATTATCCTACATTTTAGGGTTATGAAGGATCTCTTTTAAAAGTTACTAGCAAAAATGGTAAAACAGCATCGGTAAGTTTCGGTCGTTTTCTTAAATCGCTTTGCTATTTAAACCGTGTTTCTTACAGCCTGTGGGTTTTGTTACATTCCATACCAGGGCTGGCGCAGAAGCCGCCAAACAAGATTTACAGGTAATAAAATTTTCAATATTTCAAAGTACACAAGCAAACTACTCACTCGATTTTCACTCTCCACAAACCAACGAAGAACACCTCCTAAGAAATCCTAAAACACTCCAACCACCACTTCAATCAATTGTAAACTATTTTGTATAAAAAAGAAAAAAAAAATCATACAGAAACGAAGAAATCTTTATGAGAAAGCACAACAAAAATGCCACAAAAAATTTTAATTATGTTTGCCTGATAAAAATATATATGTTATATATGAGCAAAAAAAAAGCAATTTTAAAAGTCCAGAACCAAGTTAGTGACCATTTTAGAGAAACCAAAAAAGTGAAAAAAACCGTTAAAAATGTTTTTATAGTTTCCTAAAATAATACGCTTTTCTTTACGAATCAATCAATCAATCAACCAGCAACTCTTCAAACATATGATCGAAAGTAAGAACACACTAAATTTTTTTGTATAGCACCTTGGTATTATTCAAAAACTATTACAACAAATTCAAATATGCATATGTATGAATGAATGTACGCCTTGCCCTCTCTCTCTCTCTCTCTCTCTCTCTCTCTCTCTCTCTCTATCTATCTCTCTCTTTCTCTCTCTTTCTCCCTTTCTCTCTCTCTATCTCTGTCTCTCTCTCTCTCTCTCTCTCTCTCGCTCTCTTTCTCTCTCTTTCTCTCTCTTTCTCTCTCTTTCTCCCTTTCTCTCTCTCTCTACCTCTGTCTCTCTCTATAAAATATATGAATGATTATATTCACCCACCCATCCACCCAATCACACATCTCACATACAATTTTCACTGAACACCACGGTATGCTTTATAATATTTACTTTTAGTTTGGTTTTTTCGCATTTGCATATGATTTTTGTACAAGTCACTTGGAAAGTGTATTCTTCATGGAAATGCTTCTGTCACTTACGTAGTAGTAACGAAATGAAAAGGGTTTGTTGCAGCTTTATACATATATACATATAGCAAAAAAAAAACAAAACAAAAAAAAAATTATATAAATATTTTGCTTAATTAATTTTTCAAATGACAAAGAACTCAAGAAATTGTTGTTTGAAAATTGAGCAGCAATATAAGAAAAAATTATTCGAATAAAAGCTTTAAAGAGTTATTCCTGGCAATCATATCCTCTGCCAAAAATATTGGCAAAAATATTTATGAAAAATTAGAGATAGTTTGCAAAAATCTCTTATAGAAATTTAACTTTCATTTTAATCTTCCAAATATCTTTTCGTTTTTTTTTTTTTTTTCATTTCAAAACATCCACACAAAATTGTTGCAGGCTGAATGTACTATTATTTCGTTTTAAATCTTTGAAAGGGAGAATATTGAGTCACTTTCCTTTTAATCGTCTGCTGCCGAATCAATCCCTCAATCATTTGCCACATTATACATATCCATTTGTGAAAAAGACACTTACTTTTACTGACAACCACGCTCGTGACAATGAAGATACTGCTAATAGCTCCTTTCTTTCATTTCCGACAATAACTTAGAGTCCTGTAGCGAACTAACTGATCTAACTGTCTAATTAAAGTTACCAAAAAATATCTATTGTGAGCAAAGTGTCGAGCAAACGGTGTTTAGATCAAAGGCTGACATGCTTGAATTTATATATGCTGTCAAGGAGAACTCTGCTATCCACCAAAGTTCAGATTTACTTTGAGAAATGCGGGCATAAACGCAACCAATGTTTGCTCGGCTAACTTTTTCGTTTTCTGGGACTAACTTTTTCGTATTTCAAGGAAAACATTGCAAGTAGTGCTTATTTCCCCACCTAATCAAAGGCATGCGTCGTTATTTTTTATCTTCCTTCTTTCCTTTCCTAAGAATGACAATAAGTACTTACAAATATGAAAATGATATCATATGCGAATCTTTGTGCATTTTTAAGTGTCTGCTCTCTGACTAAACGAATAACTTTTACCATTACCAGCCACCACCTCTGTGTCTCTCTTTCAGTGATTAAAAGAAAATAGATAAAAAAAAATAAAAAATATACGTCACTCAATTAATTTGTGGGTTGGCGCACCCGTACGATTTTAAGGCATCACCGATTTATAGATTTACGTGTAATCCTACGAACTTATTGAGTGAAGTATTTACATATTCAATTTTAAAAATGTAAGTAATTTTCCCTGGATTTAGAGACATCTAGGTCTACCCGAAACTTATAAGTTCTGATTAGCTCAACTGTAAAGATATATATTATTTTGAGGATGCAATTGATGGAAAAACAAAAGTATTTGGCTTACTGATACTAAGGATACCTTCTTGCTCCTTGTAACGGCAAATTTGAGTGAAACTGAAATGACTTTTGCAAAGATAAACATAACTCTCTATAGTGTGATACTGACGAGCGACATCTGGTCAGATTATAATTTGGACACGATTTGGATACATGCCATACAAATACAAAAGAAGAGATGCAAAAGAAAAAAGGAAAAAATTAAAAAGTTTCTAGTATTTTGTATTTATTTCGCATGATAATAATTATAGAAAGAAGAAAATATGTTTTATTCGGTGTGAGTGCAATTATTACGAGCTAGAATAAGCCATCTTTTGTTTTAATTAACACAAACTCATCACACCCTACCTCCCCCATTGCTAGATAAGTTTAAATCCTAATATGCATTTTAAAGACAATAAATTCCTCCTAGTACTACCCCACACCTGAAAGCAACTAAAAACAACATCTCGAAACAAAAGGAATAAGAAAAGCTTTAAACTTTTTATACTTAAAAATACCTCAAGGCTGATTACATTAACATCTGAAACACAAAAGGTAGAAATTGGGTCATGCAACCCTTTAATGGCAATTCAGCGCATATTTTTTTTAATATCTCTCTGCTCTCTCTTCCCGAAATTACAAAAAAAACGTAAAAGTGTGGCACGACCCAAGATTAAATACCCTACACCACCCTCCCCCCTCATATAACTATTGGATATATTGGAATACCAAATTTATATGGCAAGTGGTCGGTAGCGTTAACCCTTGAGCTACATCACGGCGGTCTGAACAAGAAAACAATACGAACGGACGGAAAGATGAACAGACCGTCAAGCGGACAGATGGACAGACAAGCTGAAATATATCTAATAATAAAAAATAAAAAAATTTTGGGTCTATCTCACGGCCTTCTGGGTGTTGCATACATCCGTACATTCGTGTCTTACGAATGGTGTGAGGTATAAAAAATATGGAAATATAAAAACGTTTTTAAATAATCGTTACAAAAAACTATTAACAAACAAATTTTCAAAAGTACCAAAAATTATGAATTAACTAAATTAACTCAGAAAGGACATAAAATTCTTTTTCTTCAATACAATTTTGAAAACCCTCTCTTCATCACACTTTAGGGAAGAAGAAACAGGTCAGACTTACATGTACTTCTTATCTCCTAAATTTCTTGATCCCATTGTTGTAAACCAGAGCAAAAAAAAATTATTATTTTTGGCGAATTATTAAGACATTGCTTTAAATTGAAATTTATTCCAAACAAAATTTCAAAATTCAATACAAAATAACTTACAATGTTTGGAGAAAATGGAATGAAATGTTAAGAAAGAAAAAAAAAAAAAAATTGAAAAAAATCTAAATCACAATATCAACCGCTGTATTAATTAAATTTACAGCAGGGTGTACGCTTCGATCCCGATATGCCCCAAACAATACGCTTGGAATTCGCCAAGAGTAACACGAAAGTGAGCAAACCCAAACCACAGCCCAATACAGCGACAACAGCCTCACATCCTGCATTGATGCACCCACTCACTGGACGTAAGTAAAATTAAGTAAAAGTTATACAATTTCAACATCTCTATATAGCGAAAGTAATTCTTCTTCATTTTGTTATCATTTTTGGTTTTTTTTGTATGTAGATTTTCTTCTTTTTGTTTTCCTTCTTATCATCTTTATTTTATTTATTATATGTTTTCTTTATTTATTTATATGCATTGTTTTTTTTTTCGTTTTCTTCTTTTTTTTTTTAGTTTTATAATAAAATAACATTAGCAGTAGTGTATAATTCATGTTATTATTTAATTTGATTAACATTTCAGTTAAAACGAAATAAAAAGCGCACAAATTTATACTTTTAAATGAAAACAAAAAGAAAAAACAAAATAAATAAATAAACTGAATCCTTATTAAACAATTACAACAACAAAAAATTGCTTCAAATAGCACACAGAATTTTATTTAGCAACAAACAACAACAACAACAACAACAACAATTAAATCCAATATTATTAACAAATACAAAAATTATACCAAAAAGTCCTAAGCAAATTTCTCTAAATATATATATATATTGTGAGCACTTGATTAACTAACAACAACAACAACAAAAACAACAATATAAATAAATCACTAGTCACCACCAAACCTTTAAGAACACCGATAAACATTTGACATATGTTTGAATACAATTTCTCTCTCTCTCTCTCTCTCTCTCTCTCTATCAGAATAATAATACTATTTATATGTATATATATCATATATATATATATCATATATATATATATATATATATATATATACTATACACGTTCACATAAAAAAAAAAAATAAAATAAAATTAAAAAAATACTTGTCTATATATGAATAGAAAAAATTAACGGTTGTCAAAAATAAATAAAAAAGAAAAATTTAAAACAAAAGACTTAAGAAAGAAACTTGAAATGTTTTGTAAATAACCGCAGTATTAGGCTTAATTTAAGACTTTAAACGAAAAAGAAAAAAAAAAGCAGACGAACTTTTAGAAAAAAAAAGCGCTTAACAGAGAGATAAATAAAATTTTTTCGTTCAAAATTATATAAAATATCATTTTTATTAAATAAATCATTTTGAAAGCAAAAAAAATAATCTTTAATAGAAACCAACTTTTTCTATTTACCTTTACATTCTGTAGATTTGGGAGGTCCCTTCTTTCCGGGCGGACCCGAGTTATGGCATCATCCGTTAGCTTATTCAGCTGCTGCCGCCGAATTACCAGGAGCAGCTGCTTTGCAACACGCTACTCTTGTACATCCGGCACTCCATCCACAAGTGCCGGTACGCTCCTATCTCTGACTAAATACAGATAAAGTAATGGAACAACCTATTCATCAGGTATGTCGAAGAAATTTTCGTTTTTCTTTGCTCATTTTCCTTCTGTTTTTTTGTTTTTTTTTTTTTTTTGGTTTTTCATTAATTTACTCGTACACTCTTGTTTGTTGTCCTGTTTAGACGCAAATGACTATGTCGCAGCACCATCAGGCGACCACAGCTATCCATCCAACAGTGCACATGTCTGCCGCAGCTGCTGCTGCCGCCGCTGCTGGCTTACCTCCAGGTAGTGCTACTTCGGGACCACCAGGCTCAACAGCAACTTCGGCCGGCGGGCCACCGCCAACACATCATCCTTTTTTATCAAGCCCCGCTCTAGCGAGTCCAGTCAGTTCTACAAATACTAACACGAATCATCCTAATAATCCTCCATTAGCTGCAAATGCTCCCTGCTCGACATTATTTGTAGCTAATCTCGGGCAATTTGTTTCAGAACATGAGCTCAAAGAGGTTTTCTCGAGGTAAGTCTGAACAGTTGCTTTTCCCCTTGTACATACAAATGAACAAAATTTAGTATTTCTTAACACAATGAAAGTAAAATGATTGAATACCTTTGTCACGAAATTTATATTTAATGCACTAAATCGATGAATACACTGAAAATAATGAAAACACACTTCACTGTCACATTCTACTTCTCTTCTTTTTTTTTTTTTGTTTCCACGAGAGAAGACATAATAAAGAGCAAACTGACAAGCATTCATTTTGAAGACAAGCAGGCAGAAGAAAAACAAATAAAATTTAATTAAACCTAATTCAGCTAAAGAAAATTGTTGCAATCTCAAAATCAAAGGAACAAATATTTAAAAAAAAAATTTTTATCTAAAAAAAATATTTATGCAGTTGTAAGGAATCTTGGAAATTTAAGAAACTCTTTTTGGAAATGGCTCTTCACAAAGGTGAAAGGAAGTCCACGACCCTTACTGATCTTGTTCGAACAATTTTGCAATATTCATCTCTTGTCTCAATACCAAGTTACAGATACCACATTGACCTAATCGAATCGGTGCTGCGAAGCTTTTACCTATCTTGCGCTACAGGGCTTGGGCTGGTATTTTTATTTAGAATTTCCGTCTCATGGAGGTAGACTGATACTGATTGACTTTCCCGCGCTAGAAAATAGACGTGTGATGCTGGCAGTTATCTTTATCATTGAATCATTGAATTTAAAGGTATAACAACTATCCCGCTTTTACTTCGGATGATAGATTCACAAGACATTATGAAGCAGTTTACTTGTCTCATTGTCATGCAAACTAACATCGTCAGAATTCTTGTAGGGCGTCTTGTATGATACATAATACTCATCTCTATTTGTTTGATTCGTCGCCAGATTCTAGAAATATCGTCAAGGATACGAATACGTCGCGGTCATCCTTACTATCCCGTAATTTAATTTGACACAGATATAACTTCAGCCGATTTTTTTTTATTCGTAAGATTTATGGAAGTTATTTTATCTCTTATGACGGGTTTCCTTCTTGATGGTAATACATATATTCCTTTGTTTCTCTACAAGTTTGCCGTATAATATTTGAATCTGTAGAATTCTCTTATTACGCCGTCTTGTCTTAGTTTTTGGGTGCTGTGGCAATGGATCTATTACTTTGCTCCCCTGCACCTCTAATTGAAAACTTAGTCCCAAAAAGTGGTCAATAATTATATTGTGAAATGTTCTCACGGACGACGACTTCTAATTACGAATATAATTTGATATATTTTCATTTCTATATTCGAGGCATTTTTCATTTTTTTCCTCCTATGCTTGCCCCTACTCACGCTTCTCCTCTCTCCTCATGTTTCTCGCTTTACTTTATTGAAAACTTAAAAGACTACTAGCAAACTAATTATACACTACACCACATGTGATAAGGGCGTTTTAATGTTTGCAAGAATGACGAGGACTTAACACTGACCTACTTTTCATCATATCAATCGTGTCTTAATTACTTTCATAATCGGCTTAGGCGTAAAACGTTGCGTGCAGTCTATTGTTCAAGGTCGTAGTTTTGAAGAAAAACTAAATTGAATTCAATCATTTTGATGACCACTCCCTGTACAACGCCCCATTCCATTAAGCACTTACCCCACATGTACCGATGTTTTTCATGCCCTTGAGGACTTAAAATGGACCTGATTTTCCATGTAACAGACGTTTCAGGATCACTTCTTAAGCGAATTCAAGATCGTTTGCATGGATCGCAACCCTTATGAAATTGATTGGAACCGTTCCTATGATCACTTCTCATTCCTGAAAAGAAATCAACACATGAAGGGAATTTGCGTTCCTTAATATTTCGCGGTCAAACCCGCTGAAAAGCAACATTTTCACGTACTAAATGGATAGGGAAAGCTTGAATTGGATTGGGCTTTTTTTGAGTGATCTCCCGTATAAACGTTTCACGAAAAGCCAAACTTTATATGACAATCAGGTTTAACTTTTCGTATTCAAACTTTTCAAGTGCAAGCCACATTGATGTATTCTTTCGATCCTCTACCACATCTCGTCATTTTACACCAAAGATAGGAAAAGAATAATTTGATAAAAAAAAAGAAAAAAAATGCAGTTTTCTGAGTTTGGCCCGCAACGGTCCATCCCTTATAAGGATCGTCATGAACAGCAGGCTTTGATATAAGAACAAGATATAGTTCGCTCCAATCTTGGGAAAGGGCAAAAGTCGCACGAGACCAATTTAACAATTTCGGAAGAGACTTCTCTGCGACATGTTTCATCCGCAAAAAGTCTTAAAAAAATTCACGGCATGAGTCGACCGATTTGCCGACATCTTCAGTAACTTTTCAAATAGTGGTTGGACGCTTCTCCATAACCCCTTTCTTTACCGCTTCAACGTTTTCAACGATTTTTAACGTGCTAGGGCACTGTCATTAAAGTCTTCTCGGCCTTCTATACAGAGTTCGTAACGCTTAAAACCCCTTTTTTTGTCACAAGTAGTTACTTACGCATATAAATGCCTGTTACGCGGTTTATGGCGGCGAAGAGTAACCAAACAGTTTACAGCTTATATTTTCCGAACAGTTCACCATCTTTTTGGATTGATGGGACAAATATGAAAGTTTAATTTCGATATCAGGCAAAACTCATAGGCCGTCGAGTACGATGTAACGATAGCCGCAAACAGAGCGCAAGATCATTATTTATTGCTTATGGCCATGAACGACTCACTATGAGCATAACCACAAAGATATCTATTAATATTGTATTTAAGAATTAAATAATTTTTTATGTTGCATCTTTATTCAAAGATTGTTTATCACTTCCGAAGTTTTTTTGTTTCAATTACTTGGAAATTTTCAACTTGTTTTTAAGTAATTTGAACGATATTTTATAATAAAAGTAAACTTTTGCATGTAGTTTTTAAATATTTTCATTTTTATTACGAAAGTTTTGCGTTTATTCTCAGAGTGAAGTGCGTCAATGACTGTAAATAGAATGTAAATGAGACTCGATGTCATTATTTCATTGTTTACTTACATGCATTAGTTCTATAGGCGATAAAAGATACTAGTAGTAGAAGTCAAAAGCAACAGACGCCTGTTTGTAAAAATTCTGCTTTTAATAACTGAAGGACATTTTTATAACTAAACGGGAGAAATTTTAGATCTCTCGCATCTAACGAGAATTATTTCATTTAGAAAATAGTTTTTTTTCTTGGGAAAATGTGATATTTTTTTCAGTTTGGCATACGTTCGTCCATCGCTGAGTAACATTAACTTACCTTTGAATATATATATATCCTAAACTGATCATAGATATTATATATATAATTTTCTTTAGCTGAATCTCTATTTGGACATAAAATATTTCTATACATTCTCTATCTCTCTCTCTCTGTCTCTCTCTCTCTCTCTCTCTCTATCTCATTCTATTACATAATTTACATATAATTCTTCTCATATTTCGTAATTTTTTTTCTTGTAATAATAGTTAAGAAAAATAAACATAAATTTAATTTATTTAAATAATTTTCATATTTTTCTGATTTTAATTTTCTTTTAAAAAAAAAAAAAACCAACCTATGAACTGAAATAACATTTGTTTGTAAATTTTCAAAAAAAAAAAAAAAAAAAAAATTGTTTGGAACCAATTAAATTAAAAATTACATATGCACAGTATGCCTGGCTTTTGTCGCCTACGTATGCACACGAAAGGTACGCACAATATCACTTCTTCTTCTACAACTACTACTTTCACCAATACCAATACCACTACCACAAACTCCACTTGTACCATCACCAACAATACCAATAATGACACCAACATAACTAATAGCACAATTTCCAACAATCACAAGTACACTGCAACAGCTTTAGCAGCTTACGGAAATGGTAGCTATCAACAGCAGCATCCTTTTGCCGCAACCGAAAATGTCAACCATCCGGTTGCATTTATTGAGTTTAACGATGCGCGTAGTGCCGCTACTGCTATGCAACACTTGCAGGGCAAATATTTGCTATCATCGGATCGCGGTTCTATACGCATTGAATTTGCCAAAACGAAGATGATCAATGAGGGTCCAATACAAATCATCAACGGCAATAATCATAACGCCAGCCAAAGCAATACCATTAACAATAGCAATAACAGTAATAGTAACAGTAACAGTAACAATCATACTAATAACGCCACAGCGAAACTAATCAATTTAACCGCACAACCTACAGCCATGACAATTATAAATCCTAACTCAGCACTTTTGCCAACAGCTACAAATGGGCCGCAATTGCTGATACTAAATGGTTATCAACAACAGCAGCATAATGCTATGCTTCATCATCATCACCATCATCATCAGCATCATCAGCATCAGCATCAGCATCATAATCATCAGCGTCAACATATGCTAATGCCACCTCCAGTAGCGGCTGCAGCAGCGGCAGCAGCAGCAGCAGCGCAATACATCAATTGTAATTCGATGGCCGGCGGCGTTTCAACTGCAATTCAATTTAATAATAGCACCAACAACAACACAATTAATACAACTACTTCTACTATTATCAATGCAAATAATATTGTTAACAATAATAATAATAATAATAATAATAATAATAATAATCGTTCTACTGCACTACCGACTACTGTTGTTGTAAATTCACTACAGCACCAACTTCATCCAACTCAGCACCAAAATCATCTCTTTAGAGACGTATGTATTATTGGTTTCTTTTTTGATTTTTTTATAATTTTCCCTTTTTTCTCCTTTAATATTTTTTTTTTCTTTTTTTTTTCTTTTATTCTTCACTTTTATTTACCAACGTAAAGCCAAATATTTATGTGTTTTACAAAATAGATAAAACGGCTTTAATTTCTTTAAAAAGCGTATATAGATTTTTATTAATAAAATGCACAATTTTTCTCATAAGCACTTAAGCAAATTAAGCTTGACTGACTAGTTTGCGCAAATAAATATTTTATTCGTTATTATTTATCGATTAGAAGGAAATTAAACTCATTAAACTCATCGCGGAACTACGAGCAGGTGTTTTCTAAGGTTCAGGCAACCGCTTTGAGCAATATTACTAACAAAGACTTGAACGTAACCGTTGCTTTAATTGCAGCCTTCAAAGAAAATTTTCCTTTTTCAACATTTTAATAGCTTTTTAATAAAATATTTATTTGCTTCATTCGCTAGGGAAAGGAGTTGTCTAAAGCAATTAACAAGCGACCTAGTTTCCATTACAATTGATTTCGTAGTGATGGCACTGGATTTACACAATTTACCTTTCAAGTATATGAAAACTAATTTGTTGTTAGAGTCGTCTTAAGTCTATTGTAGTCTCGTTGAGCAGGGAGGAGCTCTCCGACCGATATCATCAAATTTCATTTTAAATAATAGAGGAGGCGACATCAGAGTTGAAAGCGTCTGAGTAGTTTCACATATCAACCAAGTTAATCTCAGTCATCCATAAATCAATATTTATTTATTGAAGCAAACAATATACCTGAATATCCACAAATCACTTCCTTTCACATCTCAGTGTAAAGAGAGAACAGACCAAATCTGTCACAGACAGATAAGTAACACAAATTTCCAAAGGTATTTTCACAGAGATATGAAAAGTGAATTTTTATATGGAAAATACACTTGTGTTGCATGCATTTTATAAAAGGTATTTTATTCGATCCGTCCGACAATGGTAAAGAATGATGAACCAAACCTTTAATAAATACTTTCAATGAAATAATTTTTTTTTTTCTTTGGTGACAACATTGTTTTTCACTACTATAAAGAAAGTATTCCATTAAAAATTTTGCGGAAACTCGTTTCTTTTCTTTAATAAATTTCTTAATATAAATCTTTATGCGGATTCTGATAGGGAACTGTGTGTTTGGGCTCATGGTTGTACACACAAAGCTTGCACAGTGCCTCGAAAATCTGTTTTAAAGCGAGAAGAACTCTCTCTCTCTCTCTCCGTCTCTCTCCTTTTCATTCATAGCAAAATCTGATAATAATGAGGTGAACCATGTAGAACCATAAGCTCACCTAAACTGATCATGAGTTGAAAATATGATCAATGCTAAGTCATCACATTAAAGCCGTGCTATGCTAATGTTCGTGGAGAAAGAGAAAAAATGACTCCATTAACTAAGCAAAAAAATTCAGAAGAAATATAATTATTAGAGAAGCATAAACCAAGAGAGGAGATTGATGGATATTACAAGTAGCTTTCGAATTAAATCATCGTATAGCATTGCATGAATGTTTTGTAGTAAACATTTTAAAGAGTTCTGTAATGATTCCTACAAAATTTACCTCCTTTTCTTCACATCTTTTCGAAACTTCGGTTAACATCATTTTAATAAAAATCTTGCTTTAATTCGAATGCTCCACTTAACGGGACTACAATTTTATTCGTCTCCAATATGCAGAAGGAAGTTTCAAAGACACTATATAGTATGTACATCTTTTATCAGAATCAAATACTAAGCATGTCTGTCCTTCCGTCTGTCAGCCAGTGCGAACTAACGCGGTACAGCAGTTAAGATATCAGCGTCAAATTCACCGAAGACGTTCGAAGTTATTACAGGCAGATTACACACAAAGGACACGCCCACAGTACAGCCTTGCTCCCTCTCAGCACTCATTAGCCATCACTCGTATATTTTGGGGGGCGGGTGTAGAATAGTCGATGACAATCGAATGTAATTCTCTTAGTTGTGTTTAGCATGAGCGTTATCTGGCAATGCAGCAACGTGGTGTGCATACACACTACACGTGTACTTGATTCTCTTTGTTTCAAGATTTCGTACCAAACGAAAGAGTTCAAATATTAATTACACGATAATTAGAAACTGCAGCCTACTTAACACTTCCGGAGATTAAATAGAAATGGTGCATTGTGTTTTGTGTTCAAGAGTGCAACAGTCAGTTCCACGCTTCTCTAACATTTCAATGGAATAGCTTGCCAAGACCGTCCCAACACACGTCATTTTGCGCTATAAGCTCGTGTTCTACTCTGGCCAATACATTTTAGGCTTACAAGCAGATACTATTTTATTAGAGAAGTATGGATCGATACGTTATTTCAATGATAACTTTATATCCTATCTCTTTGAACGCCGAACTAAAACGTTTTAAATTTAACGAACCAATCAAAAGCAAAAATTTAAATAATACAATGTAAAGTCTTTCAAAACATCAATGGCAGCTTTTGCTTGGGCATTTCTTGAGTTTAAACCTTTAGAAGTCGTGTAGATAGGCTCCTTGTAAAGGAGATATTTAGCTTGATTGTATTTTGCATCGGTGATGGTTGAACACTTAGTGCATTTAAAATTTAAAATTTACTTTTTCGAATTTGTCAGTGGCCAACAATTGAAAAAGGCTTGAAAAGGCGATCTTGCTCAAAAAAGATAGCAAGCAACTCATGCGTCAGCAATGATCTCTGAATTATTTTCGCTTGTCTGTTTAAGGGAGACGAGTGTGTGATCGAAAGTATATTTCCTATGGTGGCTTCTCTTTGCACGGTGAAAAAATCGCGTAAAGTGACCAGACTGTACAGTTTAGCTTGAGAAAAATAAAATATCATCAAAGGAAACACCTGACTTTCCCCACTCCATAAGGTGGCGGGAGCGAAGTTGATTTTTTGCATTTATGTAGAATGTAAGTGGAAAGCTTAATCGTGTGTTTATTGTAATTTACAAGCAACGATGAATAGCCCGGGGAGTCGAGACCTTCTCAGTTTATGTTGCACATTAGGCGTGTCCAACACAACAAACACCTATAAATTTGTTATTGTAGGCATTATGCAGGCGGAGACGTAAACGCCTAAGTGTTGCAAAGGTTTTGACAAAATCAACGCCTAACCCCATGCTTTGGAGGCGGGTACAAAATGTTGAAATTTCACTGAGGAAGAAATAGTTTTTCGCCTCACCACTTAATGCATTAAAAAAATATTACTTGTAGCGCCAGTGGTGCCTAATTTAAGCAAATACATTTCATAACCCTAGTATACATGCATCTTTTCGAAGGTCTTACTCGAAGGTTAGTAATATATATGTCTTCTCCACCTTAGAATATTATATTTTGAGTATAAGGCTGAAAACTGGACAGTGGGTTTTTGAGAGTTGCATACATCATATTATATATGTCGTTATGTGCGAAAAGTTTCACTCTTTCCCTATTATTCCAAAGAGAACAATATGTAATTGTAAGGAATGATAATAAGTGAAAGGAAAGCAAAACACTACCATATAGATAAGGCGAGAGAGGTTTCGAAGCAAGCACTGAACGAAGCTATCAAAAATAACAACCACAATGAACGGAATGATTACATAATAATAAGTCGAAAAGATCCAAATCAAAACATTCTTCGTTCATCTGATGACTACGGCAAGCTTTAATAGGCAACTTTGAAATCCTGCATGGAGCTACTTGATGATGACGATTTCGCCTGTTTTTTTGTAATATTAAGTTAGTTAAGTGAAAGTGAAATCATTTTTATTGACGACTTTCAAACTTTCAATCAACAGATTGAAGCTTTGTCCAAATAAGTCAAAACTGCTGTTAAATGTAAAAAAAGCCAAAGCAGGCCAAAGGCTAAGTTGAATGACACGAAAACGATTTTTCACGATAAACGTCCCTTTTAAAATTTTCTTTTACTTTACTTACGGTAGTCTTTTTTACTTTTCATTGCATCAATTTATGTTTAAAAATTTTATAAAACACTGCATGAGTTGTTTTTTACCGCTTCCAGATGAGTTTGCAATTTTCTTCTGAAAGCATGTTGAGAAGTTTGGATTTATTCCAAGTTCTTATTTAAGAACGCATACACTTAAAGAGGTAACGGACATACCGTACCTTTACTTTGCACGAGGGATGCGGGCATGATTTTTCCTTTTAATATTAATTGGTGAGTATGAAGAAAGTTCGGGGTCGGGCGATGTTGCGCGTGTTTAGTAAGTTTGCGAGTGACCTTAACTCCTCCAATTCAAATTTCTTAAGTATCGGAAATTTATTTCATAAGCATTCAAATACAATTCACCAAAAATAATTTTATATTCTAAATCTTCTTCTAAAGAGAGCACTTTATGTACATATTTTATCTTATACCCACTTATTATTGCTTTTCAATCAGATGACAGGTTGCATCGAATTTGAATACTCTCAGTTTTCTTCTCCTTAATACCCTACACTAGTGGTGAGCCTGGCCGAAGCTAGCTTGTCTATCCGTCTATCTCACTGTTTGCCTTATTTGCTTATACTCAACCTAAAACCTCACTATTCCAGATATTCCGATATTTCGACATCAACACTAATGAAAATGGTTCGAATCGAGCTATTTTTTGAATGACTTCCCGTATAACACCTATGTTTAAAAGTCGTTATACGCATTAAGGCAAGTGGGGTAGGGTATAAAATGGTGGGCCTTGCCCCACCAGCGTTTTCACTTGTTTTTTAATTATGCTGCTGTTAAATATACCGTCTGATAAATCAATATAGAAATGAATATTTAATTAAAATTTATTTGATCCAAACGTGTGAAAAATTCGTATTTTCAAAATCTACTGTCAACATTGGGCACCAGGGGAAAGAGGAATTTTTTTTGCTTAAGAATAAAAAGTTGCATTTATTGGTGTTAAGCCTTGAAGTTTATGTCATCAACTGATAATTTATGATTTGCTTAAAGACTAATGAATTAGTTCTGCGTGAGAGATAAGCTTTAAAAATTTATTAAATATTTTACTATAATTTGTGCATTTTCTAGTCACCAACTTTCCTTTCTTCTCAATTCTCAATTTCATTTATCTTAAGAAACTGCACTCAACCTGTAAACCATCCCGAATTATCCCGGTTATGGTAGAATAGTTTGTACATCTGTAAAGTAATCTTTCAAAACTTTTTTTTTTTTGTATGTTTTTAAATCTTTGACAATAAAAAGCAAGTCTCTCTTTTGTACACAAAACATAATAATTTTAATCGTACGAACAACAAAACCAAAATTTTGCATTTACAGAGGAGCGGGTATGGAATCAAGGCATGATCTATTGAATAAAAAAATCGAACGTGATTTGCAGCCACAGCAACATCATCACCATCACCAGCATCAACATCATCAACAACATCAACAATTTCTAATGACAACACCGACCTGACCCATTACAACAACATCTGCATTAACCAATCAACTTCAACAACAGCCCCCTCATCGTCTTCAACATCAGCAGCATCAGCAGCATCAACAGCATCAGCAGCAGCAGCATCATCAACAACAACAACAACAGCAACAACAGCATCACTATCAACAACATTTCGTAACGCAATCGACGGCACAACAAGCTCAGTCGACATCATCAACAAATGCTATTGTAACGCAACAGCAACAACAACAACAACAACAACATTATAATAACAACGCGACCGCTGCTTCATTAGCTGCCACACATCATATACCCACAACCTTAATAGCGGGCGCTCCTCCCGGCTCAGCAGCCGGCATTTATTCGTATGTATTGCCGGCCGCCCATATAGCAGCATAGTACGTAACACAACACTATCTCTTTGAAAGTATCTAAAAGATTAAAACAAAAACAAAAAATGGGGAAAACATTTTAATTTTTTTCTTTTATTTCAAAAAAAAAAAAAAATACATTTTAGGAGAGAAACTGAGGCGCGCAAATTTCAAAACACCAAACTCATAGCAAATGAGCAGCAGACATGTCAGAGTTAGATGTGTAACTGTGTGTGTGTATGTTAGCTTTTAGGTTTAGAAACAATGTTTTACAACATTGTATGTGTAGTATATTTTAAAAAGACATTTTTTAGAAGAAATTTTGATGGCTTATATGACGAAAAAAAAAATAAAAAAAAATAAGTAAATAATATATAAGAAACAACTTTCATAAAAAAATTTAAAAAAATATAAAAAGAAGCCGCAAACAAATTTAATTCACAATTAGAAGAAGATACATTACAAATACCTAATAGCAAAAAAACAAAAAAAAAAAAACAAATAAAACAAAAATTAATAAATAAATAAATACATTAGTATAACTACATCCCAAGTTAAATTAATAATAAAAAAAAAAAAAAAAAATTCACCCATAGAAACATTCAATAAGTTTTAAGATAAAAAAAAAAAACCAAAAAAGACAGCAATTTATAAACAAAAAAAAAAAGAAGAAGATTATGTTAAGGAAAATCTTTTTGATTTTCTTCATTTTCAGTTTCTTATTACGTAAGCTAAGCCTTGTTCAGAATCCAGTTCCCTAATAGCAATGAAAACATATGTAAAAAACGTGCAGCCACGCAAATGCCAAACTGTCGTCGCCAAACTACAACAAGCTATGACAGCTATACACCCATCCCTCCATACTTTAAAAGATTTGATTTCTGACGACTTTTTCATACGTCACGATGTGTTGCTTCTAGGGCGAAAACGATGCATCATGCATATATATGCACTTGTGTCGGTCCTTAGCATTTTCGTACGTATACTGACAATGTTCAGCAAGGTTTAATAGGATTCTAAAGTGATGTGAGAACACTTGTATTCTATTAAGCATTTATTCATCATTCGTTGAACATTGTTTTTGATATGAAATTACATTCTTTTCCATATTGAATTTATTACAACCTACATTGACGTGAAGATATAGTTACGTAGGTTTGTGTGGTTGAGAGACACTCTCCCTTTACGACACCAAAAGATTCAGAATCACTTTTTAAATCGATCTAAACTTGTCTGTCTATTTGTCTGTCTTCTAGTTTATGTTTAACTTACACCACATGTGGTACAAGGGTATGGGCAGCACCCAGAAGGACTTGAAAGAAGCCCTGCCTTTAATATACCGCTTTTATATATATATATATATATATAGAATTTTTTAAGCTAAACTTCGATCACCTCAGTTGACATACTTATACTTTTCGAGGTGTTAAGCGAATTGGTGTAAGGTATTTAATGGTCGACCGTGGCCGCGGCTAGGGGGTTTCTATTTGTTTTTGCAGCACAATTTCACTAATGAAAGAACAGAGTTTTTAAAGGAAAAATTGCTTGATATCTGAATTTTATGAAAACGGCGAGCGGCGGTTACAACTTTAGTTCCCTTCTATTTATTCGCGATTACACGAGGACTAGAAAACATTCAATCATAATTCTCTGGCAAAAGGTAACAAGAAAAGAGGCGAGAAAACCGTGCAACTCATCTTAAAGGCTTTGCGTTTCCTTTACATCGTTTTCATTTATCCGATTTGTTCAGATTTTAATTTTGTGAATCTGTGAATATGTTCATAGTATTTTAAAACGGAATTGACAACTACATAGACTCTACTTACAATAAACAAACACACACACACACACACACACCATACACACACACCATACACATACATACATACACATATATACATACATACATAATAAATAGAAAACCAAAAAGTAGCAAACTTAGTAAAATTTATTAGAAATTATATTAAAACAAAAACAAAAGAAAAGAAAAGAAAAGAAAAAACAAAACCTTTGCAAACATCATTGACACACAACATAAACATAATAATAATAATAAAATGAATTAAGCTTAAAAAATATGAAAAAAATTAAGGGGAGGAGGAAGAATTCTATTATAAAAATATGTATTAAATAAAATATATTCTGTAAGTATAGCTTAACCGTATGTGCCCTTTACATAGCTCTTGTATTTGGTTAAACACAACAAGAAACAAAAAAAAGAAAATAAAAGAAAAAAAAAAAAAAAAAAAAAAAAAGAAGTTATACAAAAGAAAACCGAGAACAAATGAAATCTTTTTGAAACAACGACATTTTAAAAGCAATTTGCTAAAGAAAAACAAAAAAACGAAGAAGAAAAACATGCGCGCGAACCAACAAACGTCAGCAGCAGCAACAGTTGAAAAAAATATGTGAATTCTTTACATAAAGATTAAAAATATTAAATGGTTTCCAAAATTAGAAGAAAAGAAAAAAAAAAAAAAAAAAAAATTCAACAAAAAAAATGAAAATGAAAATTTAAAAACGATGATCATATATGGCTACATACAAAGACATAAAAAGACTCCGAAACAGGACGTTTAGTCAATAAAGAAAACGAAATTAAGAAATAAAAATAAAATTAAAAACAAAATAATAATAATAATAATAATAATGTAAAATGAATAAGGAAATTTTAAGAAATTTTTAGATGATGATGTTTTAGAAAACTATTTTTAACAACTATCCAAGCTTTCTATGAGATAAACCACAATATAATGAAAAAGAATAAGAAAAAGGGGAAAAACCGGTTACTAAATATGAATGAAATCTTAAAGAGCGAAACACGTCAACTTGCTATATTACTTTCCGCCCAACAGCAATAACAACTTTTTACTATAAACTTTACAAAAACTGAAACTGAAAATTAAGCAAACAAACCAACAAACAAAACAGAATTAATTTGAACTTGTGACAGAGCCTCAAGGAGTTTTCTTATTCAAGAACAATCAACTTTAGACAACAAATACACAAACGAAATCTCTCATATAGATCAACAGAAAAAAAACAGCAACAACAAAAACAACAACAACAAGAATAGTAATAATAATAATAAAAATAACAAGTAAATCTTAAAAAAAAAATTAATAAAAGCAAACAAGAAAAAAAAAAAAAAAAACGGGAAAACAACCTTCTACTAACAAAACATATCAACAGCCTACTTAGGAACGTATTTTCTAATGATGTAAGTGAAAAAAATATTAGAAAGTTAAGAAAATATTATTTAAAGACAAAAATAAACAATATTAATAACATTTTAATTAAGAGTTTTTCTTAATACTTTTTTTTCCAAAATTCATTGAAAAATTTTTATAAAAGAAATTTACTAAAAAGCTTGTATAAAATCCGTTCGCAAGGAAAAAGCTTCTTAAAGATACCAAAGGACATTTTAGTTTCTCTTAGCTGTTGTTCTCTTCTCTCATTCATTTCTCTCTCCTTCTTTCGCTATTATTTTTTATATTCTATTTGAATACACATATTTAAAAACGTTTTGTAAGCACTTTCTTCTTCTTATTTTGGTTCGTTTCTTTTCCTATTTTGGATAATAAAATTTTTGCTTTTCTTTATTATTTCGTTTGATTCGCTTTTCTTATTAAATTTCTCGTTTCTTTTTTTTTCCTTTTCTTTTGGGTTCAATAATAATGTTTTTGGTTAAATATGCTTAAAATCGTATTATAAGATTTTGTTTTTTTTTTTATTTTTAATCTTACTAATAAAGGTTTTCCTTTAATGGATTTAATGATTTTCTGCTTTTAACAATAAATTTCTGCTTAAATATGTTTGAGAATGTATTGTAGGGATTTTTTTTTTTTTCTTTAATTCATTTCTTATTTGAATTCAAAAAAACAATATATATATATAATATTAAAATCAAACAATTTTAAGAGTTTATTTATTACCAAAGTTGTCCTTACTAAATATCAATTATTAATTGTTTAAAGTTTATGATGAGAAAAATAATAAAAAAAATAAAAATTACCAAACAAAAGTAGTTTTAAATTCTAGACAAACCAAAGTTATGACCTAACTTCTAAAAAAAAAAAAAAAACAAAACTGAAGTGAAATTAAAAATTTTAAATGTAAAACCAACCAAATTTTAGTTGCATAATAGCGTTTAGTGAATAAAAACATTAAAATTATATTGAAAATTATCTACTTTTTTTTTAATCTTTTTAATACATACATATATAGATATTTTTACCTACCTACAATTATAAGTTTATATATGAATATATGCCGTCCAATATTATTAATTTTATTTAATGATTGTTTTAACAATATTTAAAACCTAAAAAACAAAAAAAAAACTATTGCTTTTTATTTTTTTCAATTACAAATGAATTACAAAATACATAAATAAATAGGTAAATAAACGAAAGGAAAATATTTATTCCATAAAATTGAAAGATCGATCCCTTAAAAGCCGATCCCCTAAAAAGCCGGCGTCTTTAACAAATGCATATCACGAAATTGCGCCTTTTATTATATTAAAAAAAAAAAAAAAGAAGAAAATTAAAAAATAAATAACACACGCATACGTATACATACATGTGGAATATTTACATTAGAATATATATATAGATATATATATATACATGTATATATATTTATATGTATATATATATATAATATATAAATAATAATAATATATATATTTATTAATGTATATAAATATATATATACATATATATATATATATATATATATATATACATATATATTAATTAATTA